GAACAAAGGTTATAATAATTTGAAATAGATAATTGTTCAAATAGTCATAACTATTTGAACTGGTTCAGCAAATAGATTTGTTTTTAAAATCTCTTATCAATTCTTCAAATATTAATAAATTAGCATTATTTTATTTCAAAAAAGCTTGTATGTTGAAGAACAATTGTTTTATGACAAAATAAAACGTAATAACGATTTAAAATAGATAGTTGTTTCAATAGCCATAATTATTTGAACTAATTCGATAAACTGATTTATTTTTTAAATCTCTTACTTATTAATTTTTGAAATATTAATAAAATAGTTTTATTTTATTTTGGTTAAGCTTTTATAGACTAAAACAATTGTCTTATGACAAAATAAATGGTCATAATGATTTTAAATAAATAATTGTTGAAATAATCATAACTATTTGAACTTGTTCGGTAAACAGACTTATTTTTTTCAAATCTCATGCTTATTAATTTTTTGAATGTAAATAAATTATTATTATTTTATTCCAAATAAGATTGTATGAATTGAAATAATTATTATATGACTAAACAAAAAGGTCAAAACAATTTGAAAAAGATAATTATTCTAATAGCCTTAACTATTTAAACTGGTTTGGCAAATACATTTATTTTTAAATCTCTTACTAATTTTTAGAATATTATTCAATTAGTATTATTTTTATTCGAATAAGCTTGTATGATCAAAAATAATTGTTTTATGAGAAAACAAAGATTATAACGATTTGAGATTGATATTTGTTCAAATAGTCATAACTATTTTAAATAGTTTAGAAAATTGCTTTAGTTTTTAAATCTCTTGCTTATTAAATTTGGAAATATTAATAAAGTAGTATTATTTATTTTAGATTAGTTTTTACGAACTGAAATAATGGATTTATGAAAAAAAGGTCATAACAACTTTAAACAAATAATTATTCAAATTGTCAAATCTATTTCAACTTGTTTAGTAAACAAATTTATTTTTTTAAATCTCTTGCTCATTAATATTTCACATGTTAATAAATTAATATTATTTTATTCTGAATAAGCTTGTATGAACTAAAATAATTCTTTTATGACTAAACAAAAGGTTAAAATGATTTGAAATATATAATTATTTTAATAGTCTTAACTATTTAAACTGGTTCAGCAAACATATTTATTGTTTAAATCTCTTACTTACTAATTTTTGGAATATTATTAAATTAGTATTATTTTAATCCAAATAAGCATGTATGAAAAGAAAAAATGTTTTTTGACAAATAAAGATCATAAAGATTTGAGATAGATAACTATTCAAATAGTCATAACTATTTGAACTATTTCAGTAAATAAATTTCATTTTTAAATCTCTTATTAATTATAAAAATATTAATAGATCAGTATTATTTTATTCTAAATAATTTTGCATGAACAAAAACAATTATTTTACGACAAAACTAAATGCCATTACAATTTGAAATAGATAATAGTTTAAATAGACATGACTATTTGAACTTGTTTAGTAAATAGATTTATTTTTTAAATCTCAAACTTATTAATTTTTAGAATATAATAAATTAGTATTATTTTATTTTGAATAAAATTGTATGAATAGATGCAAATATTTTGTGACAAAACAAAAGATCATAACAATTTGCAATAAATAATTATTCAAATAGTCATAACTATTTGAACTTACTCGGTAAACATATTTACTTTTTAAATATTTTACGTATTAATTTTTAGAATTTTAATAAATTAGTATTATTTTATTTTGAAAAATCTTTTATGAATAGAAATAATTGGTTTATGACAAAACAAAAGGTCATAATGATTTCAAATAGATAATTCTTCAAATAGTCATAACTGTGTGAACATGTTCAGAAAATATATTTACTTTTTTAAAATTTTACTTATTAATTTTTGGAATATTAATAAATTTAAATTATTTTATTCAAAATAAGCTTACATGAATAGAACCAATTGTTTCATGACAAAAAAAGGTCATAATATTTTGAAATAGATAATTGTTCAGATAATCATAACTATTTGAACTTATTCGGTGAACCTATTCTTTTGTTAATTCTCTTACTCATTAATTTTTGGAATATTAATAAATTAGTATTATCTTCCTTCATATAAGCTTAAATGAATTGAAACAAATGTTTTATAACAAAAGAAAAACTCATAATAATTTGAAATAGATAATTATTCAAATAGTCATGACTATTTGAACTTGTTCGATAAACATACTTATTTTTTAAATCTTTTACTTATTAATTGTCAAAATATTTATAAATTAATATTATTTTAATATGAATAAACTTATATGAATAGAAATAATTGTTTTATGACAAAACAAAAAGTCATAACAAGTTGAAATAAATAATTGCCCAAATGGACATAATGATTTGAATTTATTCGATAAATAGATTTATTTTTTAAATCTTTTACTTATTAATTGCCTTAATATTAATAAATTTGTATTATTTTATTCAAAATAAGCTTGGATGAATAGAAAAAAATTCTTTTATTACGAAACAAAAGGTTCTACATATTTCAAATAGATAATTGTTCAAACAGTCATAATTATTTAAATTTATTCAATAAATAGATTCATTTTTTAAATCTCTTTATTATTAATTTTTGGATTATTAATAAATTAATATTATTTTATTTTGAATAAGCTTATATGAACTGAAATAATTCTTTTATGATAAAATAAAAGGTCATAACAATTTGAAATGGATAATTATTCAAATAGTCATGATTATTTGATCTAGTTTAGTAAACATATTTAATTTTAAACCTTGTTAGTTTGTAATTGTCGAAATATTAATAAATTAGTATATTTTAATTTGAATAAGCATGTGTGAATAGAAACTATTGTTTTATAATAGAACAAAAAATAATAATGATTTGAAATAAATAATTGCTTAAATATTCATAACTATTTGAACTAGTTTGATAAACATAATTATTTTTTAAATCTCTTATTAAATTTTGAAATATTAATAGATTTGTATTACTTTATTTCGAACAAACTTAAATGAACAAAAACATTTATTTTATGACAAAACAAAAGGTCATAATGATTTAAAATATATAATTGTTCATATAGTCATAATTATTTGAATTGGTTAGGTAAAAGAATTATTTTTTAAATCTTTTACTTATTAATTTTTTAAAATATTAATAAATTTATTTTATTTTATTCCAAAAAAGCTAGTACGAATTCAACAAAACCTTTTTTATGACAAAACAAAAGGTCATAATGATTTAAAATAGATAATTGTTCACATAGTTTTAAATATTTAAACTAGTTCAGCAAACAAATTTAATTTTTAATTCTTTTAGTTATTAATTTTTGGAATATTATTAGATTAGTGTTATTTTATTTCCAATAAACTTGTATGAACAAAAATAATTGTTTTAAGATAGAACAAAAGGTAATAAGGATTTGAAGTTTACAGTTGTTCAAATAGTCATAACTATTTAAATTAGTTTGATAAACAGATTTATTTTTTTAATCTCTTACTTATTAACTTTTGAAAGATTAATAAATTAATATCATTTTATTCCAAATAAGCTTGAATATTCAAATACAATTCTTATATGATGAAACAAAAGGTCATAATGATTTGAAATAGATAATTGTTGACATGGCCATAATTATTTGAACTGATTTAGTAAAAATATTCATTTTTTAAATCATTCACTTATTAAATTTAAAATATTAATAAATTAGTTTTATTTTATTTTGAATAAGCTTATATGAACTAAAATAGATAATTATTCAAATAGTCATGTATGAGCTGAAATAGATAATTATTCAAATAGTCATGACTATTTGATCTAGTTCAATAAATATATTTATTTTTAAAACTTTTTACTTATTAATTGTCAAAATACTAATAAATTAGTTTTATTTTAATCCGAACATGCTTGCATGAATAGAAACTATTGTTTTATAAAAAACAAAAAGTCATAATGATTTGAAATAAATAAATGCTTAAGTAGTCATAACTATTTAACTAGTTTGATAAATAGATTTATTTTTTAAATCCCTTATTCATATTTGAAATATCAATAGATTACTATTATTTTATTCTGAACAAATTTATATGAACAAAAACATTTGTTTTATGGCAAAACAAAGGGACATAATGATTTGAAATAGATAATTATTTAAATAGTTAGAATTATTTGAACTGGTTAGGTAAACAAAATTATTTTTTAAAACTCTTACATATCAATTTTTGAAATATTAATAAATTCATTTTATTTTATTTCTAAAATGCTAACGTGAATTGAAAAAATTGTTTAATGATGAAACAAAAACAATTTGAAATAGATAATTGTTCATACATTCTTAACTATTTGAGCAAGTTTGGCAAACAAATTTATTTTTTAAATCTTTAGTTATTAATTTTTAAAATATTATTAGATTAGTAATATTTTATTTCAAATAAGCTTGTATGAATATAAATAATTGTTTTATGACAAAACAAAGGGTTATAACAATTTAAAGTATACAATTGTTCAAATAGTCATAACTATTTAAACTCATTTGGTAAAAAAATTTATTTTTGAAATCTCCTACTTATTAACTTTTGAAAGATTAATAAATTAGTATTATTTTATTCCAAATAAACTTTTATGATTAAAAACATTGTTATATGACCAAACAAAATGTAATAACGATTTAAAATAGATAATTATTGAAATAGCCATTGTAGACACCTTATTTTGTCCAGGGTCCTTTATCAATCAAGACTAATTTAAGTTCGGTTGTAGGAATTTTTATTTATTTTTATTTTAGATTTTTTATTTCATATTTATCATTTTCTTTTCCTTTCTCCATTATCAGATTAATTTAAAAAAAAAAAAAGCTGAAAGAATGAGATTAGGCTTGGTGATGATTGTTATAAAAAATATTAGAGATGTTAATCTTTAGCTTTGGATGATAATCAGAATTGAACTGAATCACAATCACTTGGTTTAATATATCATTACAATTCATAGCAATAGAGGACAAAAAAAGGGGGGCACTCAAAAAGAGGCAGAGGATTGTGGATTCGCCATTTTCACCTTCTGAAGAGCCATTGGTGCCTTACAATGATGATGAAAATGATGAAAGGAGGGCACTGAGTCACATCGGTGGTGGAGAAGAAGATGGTCACAGATTTGAAATTAAAGAAGATGATGATGACGATGATCCATGTGGGCAAAGGTCAGTTCTAGAAGAAACAAATCGCCAGGTTAAAGTATGAAAAGACTGCCCTTACCATGATACTGTTAACCATCAGGTGCTGGATTTTGATTTTGAGAAGTCTTGTTCGGTCTCTTTGTCAAATTTGAATGTGCATGTGCGTCTAGTCTGTGGGAAGTATTACCAAGGAAGAGGGAAGAAGTTTCGTGCTTACACTCATAGTCTAGAAGCAGGACATCATGTCCACATCAATCTTCGAACAGAGAAGGTGTATTGTTTCTCTGATGGGTATGAAATTAATGACCCATCATTAGATGATGTACGCCATGTTCTTAACACAAGGTTTTCTAGACAACAATTTGAACAATTTGACAAGACCAAGCAATGGTCTAGAGCACTTGATGGTTCAGATTACCTTCCAGGAATGTTTCCGACAGTCTTTCCTAGTTTTCGGTGAAGCATTCAACCAAAATCTAGAATTCTAGAGAGAGCGGGGGGAAGGAAGAAAAAAGAGAAGAAAACTTTCTTTCCCGCTTCCCACTTCGCTAGGCCTTTCTGCCCCAAGCTGCCGACAACTGCCTTTCCTCTTACCTAGCGACCACATCTGGTGTTGGCGCTGCCACACTCCTCTTTTCCTTTTTCTCCACGTGTCTCTATTCCCTCCAATGTCTCTTTCTTTCATTGTGAGTTGCAGCCATGTACGAAAAGGATGAAGTATCAACTATAGTGACAGACCTAAGGTCTCACACTTATAAAGTTGGTTTTGCTAACGAAGATGTTTCCAAAGCTGTGTTTCCTTCTGTTGTGGGGTCCATTGACCGATGATGACAACGAAATGATTGGACTAAAATGCATTATGGATCAAGACATCTATGATGAAACAAAGTGATTCACCTGAGAAACACAAGTATTGCTATGTTCATTGAGGAGCTAAATTCTATCATCAAATCAGGGGATGTCGTATATCTCGATCTAAAAAAACACAAAGTCAAGCATCAACTTGTTCTAGAGAAATTAAATTCTATCCCAAAGTTAGGGAATGTCCAGCATCTCTATCCAGTAATAAAGAGAAAATAGTGGACGACGTCGGATCGGTAGTCGAAGCTATATCCACTGATGATGAAGATGCTACTCCCCTTCATCAAATAGAAAGCCTCTGCAAGTGCTGCACCCAAAATGGAACAACAAGGCTTCTATTGACTTCAATTCCACACTTTAGGAAGATCTTGCTCTCAGCGTTCGAATGTCTACACTGTGATCAGATTTCCTCCATCTCTTGATCCGTCATTCAGCATCAAATTCTATGATCGAACTCCAGAACAACAAGCATCTTTGGGCTATCTTGTCCTCATCAGAGTTGAATGAGCTTGCTGCTGGAGCTTCTGAGGAAACAATAAATGAAAACAACCACATGGATCAGTAGGAGCAGTAGCTGGTCAAAAGGCATTTGCCCAGAGTAATAGTGTTGAAATTGCTGAGGCTTTCTTTCGATTCTCTGCACCAGAAGAACTGAGTCGTGCACCCCGAGCCACACTTTTCAGCTGTGTTTGTCTTTGGAGCTACATCCTTGTTGAACCACTAAGCCGAGTTACGCCAAAGGTTTTTTTTATTAGTTTATTATTTTTGTATTTATTTATTAATTAAATTGAAATAATTTATTCACTCAATTAATTTTTTTTTTTAAATTTTCAATGGTCTTTTCAAAAATAAAATTTTGAAAATATATATTTTGAAGGAAAAGTTGAAAGTATCAATTTTTCTTGAAAATAATTTTTTAAAAAAATATTTTTGAGGAAAAATTGAAAATATCAATTTTTCTCGAAGTTAAAGTTTCAAAAAAATATTTTGGGAAAAAGTTGAAAGTATCAATTTTCCTTGTATGAAAGCAATGAGTTTTTTTGAAGAAAAAAAGATTTATACCTAAAGCTGAATCATTTTTTTTCTTGCCTTTCTTCGTTTTATTTTTTTTCCTGTTTGTTTCTTGAATTTTCTTTAATGATAAATAATCCAACAATAGAGCCTTTGTAAGTGAAATAGTAGTCTCCTTGCATACTCTTGAGGTGAGAGAATTTTCTCAATTTTCTGCTAAAAGTATTAGAGTCAATTGAGAATAATTTTCAATAATTAATTACTTGGTAAATTTTTAAGGCTTATTGGATAACCCAAAATTAAACTGGTACCATCTTTCGATGGGCGTTGTGAGGGTGCTACAACCTTTCTCACACGTAACCATACTCTTGAACCCTGTTCTGGTTAGTAGACATGAACCTATTCTTTTAGGGACCCTTAGGCTTAGGTGTTTCTCAAAAGGATAGATTCTTTAGGTGGTCAATCGCACCTAGATAAAAAAGATTGGTGGTGACTCCTTCAAGTCAATGTCTAGTGATAGATCCCTAGATCTAAACGTTATGACAGTTTGGCGACTCCACTGGGGAAGTCTGAGAGTCAAGCCAGCAAATAAATTTGTGTTATCCAAAAGCCTAATAAAATTGAACCTTTTGTATAGATTTTTTTTATTCATTCATGTTTATTTACTTTATTAATTATGTCATTCATATGCATATGCATAACATGAGCTCTATACCCGAGCTCTGTCCCTATAGGAAGGAGTAAAGTACCTATTGCTTTTGTGAGATTTAATGCCTCCGCAGTGGCTAGTGAAATACTCCCACTCAAATTGAACCTTTTCTGCTTGTAACCTGTAATGGGTGAGGATTAGGGTGCCTTACTAGTCTGTGACGGACAATGATGTAATGAGCAATTTGAGAACTTCTAGACTTTAGCCTTGAACCACATACAGTGTACATTTAAGAGGCTGACCTAAGATAGAGCCCTTTATACCCAATGACAGATATACCCTGAAACTAAGACACAAGAAGGATGTTTATCTAATCATTTTGATTGTTTGACTTTGTGCATCATTTTCATCATCGTATGTAACATTATGCATCTGTATCACTTTTATTTCAGTCATGAAACTAACCATGTTGTTTGTCTGATTTTATGTATCTGCATTATTTCATTCTATGCATCATTTTCATTATCATTTGCAACATTTCATCCATGAAGATCCATATTCTATTCATGCATCAACATATCATACATAAAGCATAGCATAGCATTTCTAATCATAATTGTGGTGCTAAAGGTTCAAGGATAGCTCCACCAAACAACCTCACTCACCAATACAATACAAGGGCTCGAGCCAGACAAATGGAGCAAGAAAACTCTCACCGATTTGAGAAATTGAAAGAAGCACAGGAAAAGATTGAGAATGAGTAAGATTCTAAAAGCTCTCAACAAGTTGAACAAAAGAAAAAAGGGATAGAAAAAAATACAAGCCAACAAGGCCCTCTATTGCAAGAAATGGTTGACCCACTGTACCCTTCTGGTTTTGAGCCACATCAAGTCCAACCTGTACAAGGTTCACCACCTCAATAGTTCACCTATCCTATAGGGTACACATATCCTAGAATGCCATCAGCTTCAAATCAAAGATGATACCAAAGTTATATAAATCATGTATTTACTGTAAAAATAATATTAGTCCCTAATTTGGATGATCTAAAAGAAAAAAAATTAAGGCCCAAAGAGAAGAGCTTGTAGAAGCCTCAAAAGCTGAACAAAATATAAACTTGTTAGAGGAAAGGCTACAAGCAGTGGAGGGAATTAATTTTTATAGCTCAGTTTATGCTGCTGGACTCTATTTAATCCCAGATGTGGTTATTCCCCCAAAATTCAAGGTGCCAGAGTTTGAGAAGTATGATGGTACAAAATGTCTAAAAACTCACATTACCATGTACTATAAAAAAATGGCTGCCCATGCTAATAATGAAAAGCTATTAATGCATGTATTTCAAGACAGCTTAACAGGCTTTGCTGCTAGATGGTGTGTCGAGTTGGACAAGACCCGCATTTGTTTTTAGATCGATATGGCTCATGCTTTCATTAATCAATACCGGCATATAATAGACTTGGCCCCTGATCATCTTTCTTTACAGAATATGGAGAAGAAAGCAACTGAATCATTCAAAGAATATGTCCAGAGGTGGAAAGACATGGCTACTCAAGTGCAACTTTCTTTGATTAAAAATGATATCACCTTATTGTTTGTCAGCACTTTGAAATCCCCCTATTATGAAAAGATGATAGGGAATGCCATAAAGGATTATGCTGACATGGTGATTTCAGGCGAAATCATTGAGAATGCCATTAAAAATGGTAAGCTGAAAGGAGGAAAAACCAAGAAGGCACTCAAGAAGAAAGAGACTGAAGCTCAAGCTGTAGACTTTGACAGATAGTTCAGGGGATATCAACCCTATCCATTCTAAGGTTACTCTCCATACTATCCTGCTGTGAACAATACTTCATCTTATCCATACCAACTAGCCCCACAACCACCTAATTCATCCATATACCAGCCTATTTTTATCCCCCAAGCTCCCATATACAGCCTTAACAGTCAAACTCCTGTAAGACCCTAAATTCATCTTATTAGCCTGGCAAGTGGTTCACGAGAGCAACAGACTATTCTAGAAAAGTCGTATTTGATCCAATCCCTATGACTTATACGGAGTTATACTGAAAGCTCTATAATAGCCACCCGATTGCCCTCAAGTTGTGTGGAGCTGCTCAAGCCATCTTATCCTAAATGGTATGATCCTATAGTTCACTGTGACTATCACTATGGAATTGCTGGCCATTTCACTGAAAATTGCACTGCTCTAAAGCATAAGGTGTAACGGTTAATCAAGGATGGAATGGTAAGTTTTGATCAAAGAAGAGCAACAACACCTAATATTAGTGGTAATCCATTGCCTAATCACAATGTTAATGCTCTGAATGAGAATCAAGAATATGTTAATTCAAAAAGGCCTAAAGAGTCGCAATGAATCAAAGGGGCGAGATAAAAATCCTTCACCTGATTGCACAGAGGCATGATTTTAAAGAAGGATGTTAAAACTGGTTGAATGCTACTTGTCATTCTAAAAGTTCTTTTAAAGTAATGTTAGGATTTCTTTTTTGCAATATGATTTCACTTCTTATCATTTTAATAAAGGCAAGTTAATACATTTCATTACATTTTCTCTTTCACTCAACCATTACTCCATGCTCTGTTACCTTTCATAACTTTACATTCTCATTCTCAAATTTTAGATGATGAATATTTAGACAATGATAACAATAATTCTGGATTTAATTTTGAGAACTCATCCACATTAATATGAGGAGATGATTTGAGCAAAAAAAAAGTAAGCTGTTATTAGAGGTGAAATAGATATGTCTTGAAGATGTGCAATCTTTTATACAGGTTCATGAGCTTTGTTCAATAGATGATGTTCAAGAAAAATATTCACAATTGAGATGAAAAATGGCCATATTTCTTTTACCACTCGAAAAACCATTCATTGCTACCCCTTTTGAGCCTATTATGATTTCTTTTTCTAAAGAACCCTAACCAAGGATCACCCTCTACACTGGGGCGTAATTTTTGAAAAAAATATCACAAAAGGTCTCAAAGATGGAAAGAGAAAGAAAAGCAAAAGAAAAAATAAATGCCACACATGATTTGGGGTAAAATAATAAGAATCCTTTATGTGAGGAAAGAAAAAAGTAGTGAAATGATGTGGGGGCAAAATGCCAAGTTGCATTAAATGATCATTTGGTCTTGAACCTTTTTAATACATGTTTTGAGCTTATTATATCCATTTCTTTTATGACCCCTCACCTTGACCTACATTACAACCTTGAAAAGTTTATTTGGATCAAGTGTGAATGCTCAACTTGAATGATCATATATTGAGCGAAGGCATGCTCATGATGAAATAATGGAATCATGCTACATTGCTCTAAAGTTTGATGTGTGGAAAGATATCAACAATGGATGAAAAATGAGAAAAAAGAAAAGAAGATGATTAAAAAAATGAAAAAAATGGAGAAAAAAAGAAAGAAAAAAAAAAGAAAAAAATGAGAAAATGAAAAAAAAATTCAAATTGAAAACCTGAAAAGGTGATTTGGGTAGAAAAAGATCTAGGTCAAATGGTTCACATGGATGGAAGATCAAAGACATCTGAAGATCCCTCAAAGACTGGGACAAAGTTCGCCAAGCTCAAAATGACTTCAACAGTAAATGGAATGAGTTTTTGAAAAAGAATCCTAGATTAATGTTGAGAATTATCTGAATATTCATCGTTTGGACATACCATTCATCCCAATGACATGTATCCAATTTATTTCCTTTCCCATTTGTTTTGTACCAAAATAGATCTTCATTGATTATCTTTACCATAATTCACCTTGTGTTCTCTTATTGTTACATCCCTAGAATAAATCAAGAAAATGTATGAGTGCATTATAATTGTCAA